GCATAAATATTTACAGTTGTTATATCTTCTTGTTCCCTTTATGATTATATAGTGTCCTTCTTTGTCTCTTGTTACAGTCCTTGTTTTAAAGTCTATTTTGTCTGAGGTAAGTATTGCTGCCTCAGCTTTCTTTTTACTTCCATTTGCATGATAAATGCGTTTCCATCACTTTCACTTTCAATCTGTGTCTTTAGGTGTGAAATGGGTATCTTGTAGGCAGCAAATAGATGGGTCTTGCTTTTTTATCCATTTGGTCACCCCATGTCTTTTGATTGGAGCATTTAGTACATTTACATTCAAAGTAATTATTGATAGGTATGTACTTACTACCACCTTGTTACTTGTTTTATGGTTGTTTCTGTAGTTCTTCTCTGTTCCTTTCTTCTCTTCCTCTCTTCTCTCAGGGTTTGTTGACTTTCTTTAGTGATATACTTGGTTTTATTTCTCTTTATTTTTGTGCATGGTCATTTTTATGGTCCTACACTACCATGCAAAGGGAGAACTGCATATCTATATGTATATATCACAATAATTATCACCATCCTCATTACTTTGATGAGAAAATTGATGCTTCAGAGAGTCTAAGCTACTTGTCCAAGGTCATGCAGATAATAAATAGTAGAGCTTGAATTTACATCTATGCCATCTGTCTCCAAGACCTGCACCCTTAACCATTATACTACAATGTTGCCCCTACCAAGCTATGAGCACTTCAAAGACAAGGATCATAGCTTGTGATCTTTAAATGCCTGGCATGTAGACATTTGATAAACACACGCTGAGTGAATGAAAAACAAAAAAGAATAAATGAAATAGGAACTATAAAAGGAATTAATATTTATTGTTTGAAAATAATGAGAAAAAATTAAGACCAATTGAAGACTAAGTAGCAGCAACCTTATAGATGTCCATCAGTTATAGATAAAACAGACAGATCTGAAGTCATCTCATTTGATGTGAAAGCCAGCCATTTCTGAAATGTTTGGAAACATATAGCAGATGCAGAGGATTATGGGTATTTGCTAAGAAACTTTTGGTGATGGTCATTACATCAGAACACACTTGACAAAGACTTTGGGGAATAAAGAATGAAGGTTTCTTTTCCTGATCCTTTCATACAGTAGTTCTAAGTGTAGAAACTATTCCATGAGCATCCTCTGAGAAAGGCAGGCAGTAGCCCCTGCACTTGTCACTGGCCTGAGTAGCTACTAGCAGCTCCCAGTCCAGTGCAACAGCTCTTAAACTTAGGCATCTATGGATGGGCTTCAAAAGTCCACAAGTCACATAGTGGGCTCTTGATGGACTCAGCATTGGGAGTTCTATGCAACTGATGAATCACTAAATTCTACCTCTGAAACTCACTTTAAAAAAAGTCCACAAGTCCTTCCAAGTATCAGGTTGATTGCCACATTTTGTGTTAACAAGTTTATAAACTCTACGGGAGGAAAAAAGAGAAAAACATCCAACTGTGTTTGGAAATTTTTGTACCAGGAGCTGTCCCCATTTTCAGAGTGAGTACTACACCTTCTGGAACAAGTTTTAAAGCCCGGACTGGCTGTCATGTGGAGGAGGAGATGAACAAAAATAGACCTTTACACCATACCTGAAAACCACCTGAGATTTGTGGTTTGTGTCCATGTCAGGAAAGTTCCTGTTGAAGTCTTGAGGAAAGGGTCCAAATAATCAAAATTAGAACAAAGCTCTGTTTGGAAAGCCCAAACCAGAGGAAAATCAAGAAGAGTTGCAGATGTATAAAAATAGATATGGGTCAGGCAGAAATATGGAGATGAGAGCTTGTGGGCTGCAGAAGCCAGTACATTGTGTTTTGTTCTGTTCTGTTTTTACAGCCATAGCATTTGCCCAGGCAATAAAAATGAAAGAACAAGAGAGAGACAGGGTAGGTAAGGAAATCAGCTTGAGTAAGAGCGGACTCAGACTGTTATAAGCACAGACTGCCAGCCTTAATATATTCATGGAAAGAAATCAGCTCATCTGGGAGAGAAGACTCAGAGCAGACATGAGATGGGGAACATACATCCTCTTGCTGGCTTCCATGAAAGGCAATGCTTCCCAGAACAAAGGGATGCCCCTGGGGACTAGCACAGCATCTATGATTAAGTCTTTGAAGAATACACCCTCCCATTTTAACTCAAGGCCCCAATCCACCAAAAGAATAAAACCTACTTTCTAAACAGGGGTCTGAGGTTAGCCTTGTTGAAAGAGCTCCAGTCTACACTTGGAAACCCTATAACTCACACAGAGAGAACTACTGGTCCCGGGACCTTCTTTAATAAATGTGAACATACCATTCACTCACAGGAAGTAAGCAGGAACCTCTCTGTTCCAGGATATCACTTCTAGCCTTTGGAGAAGTGTTGACCTCCTTACGTCTGAGATTCCTTTAGAATGGATGAGCCACTCTGGGCCAGCCTAGACCAATCGGTGTGCTAGATGGGAGCAGAAACCAAAGCCACCTTGGGGTCCCTGTCTTAAAGACCTTCCCTAAAAAAAGTCATAATTAAAGTTATCAGAGCTCACTTGAGTCAGTGGGCACCATGGATTCGATTAATGTGTAAAGGGAGTATCAAGGCTAATGCTACATCTTACATAATGAGGAGGAGAGAAGATCCATCATGAAAAAAGCTAAGGGATTCAGATAACCACAGGAAACAAGATTTCATTATTTGAAATTTTAAAATATGCCAGAACTGTGTGTTAACTGCACACATAGATCCTGTCTCTCCTCAGTGAGGCCTGATGGATATTTCCAAAAAAAAAAAAAAAAAGTGTAAGAGATGGAGAATTTAATTTAACAAAAATTCTCTGGAAGAATGTTCTCTCTCTCTCTGTCTCTGTCTCTCTCTCACAAACACACTTCCCACAATCCAGTCATAAGACAGCTCTACAATCCACAGGAGTCTCCTTATAAATTTTTAGCTAGAGAACAAAAGAGGATGAGAGAGTTTGCACCCTTAAGAGTCTAGATGGTTGAGTGTGAGTGTTGAAAAGAAGAAAAACATTTTATCAAATGATATTGTAGGATTTCTGAGATATACAATTTATAAGTACTTTAAAAATTATTTTCAGTTGCTTCATTCTTCTTTGAAAGTAGCACCTTGTGGAAACTGAATCATATGAGGTCCCTGCTTAGATTTGGGTTTCAGGCATTTCTTCTAAAATAGTCAAAACAGTTTCAGATAAAAACAGAGATTCCTATACCCCCTCCCCACTTGGTATCTCTCCCCATTATCCTAGCCCTTCTAGCCCTTTCCTGTGATTCATCTAGAAACTTCTTGGTTTACTGACTTTGGTAATGCTTTCCACACCCCTTTCCAGTTTTGCACCCTTGCCCAGTGTCTGTGATACCAGCTTCAGATAAGATTCCTCTGTCCTTAGGAGGACTTTAGAGAACATCTACAGGGAAGGACTGAAAAGGACACATTTCCCAATGAATATCACCATGATTATCTTGCCTTGTGAAAAAGGTGAACATTAGTAGGCTAATAAAGAATGTTTTAGGGGTGCCTGGGTAGCTCAGTTGGTTAAGTAACTGCCTTCGCCTCAGGTCATGATCCCGGGGTCCTGGGATAGAGCCCTGCATCGGGCTCCCTGCTCAGCAGGGAGCATGCTTCTCCCTCTGCCTCTGCCTGTCACTCCCTCTGCTTGTGCTCTCTCGCTCTGTCAAGTAAATAAATAAAATCTTAAAAAAAATGTTTTAGATACAGGATGCAGTATTTTGAGTAAAGAAAGCAGGTAAGAAATTTTACTCAAGAAAGGGTTCACCTTGATATTATTAAACTTTGATATGCTAAGAAAACCATAATCAACCAATAAGAAGTATGCCCCTACTTTTAAGGAGTTAGAACATACTAGAAATTATCCTCAAAAAAGTGGGTGAGAATCCTTCCAAGTCTCAAGCTAAGGTGTCAACCTGGTCCCCTTCTTAGCCCCGGCCCAAGGAAGCCTGTCTCTTTTATGCAGAAGAACCTCTGTTGAGTATTACATTACAAGGCACTTGAGGATGGGGACCACATTTATTTATTTTGAATATCTATGCCTATCACCATGTAGAGCCCATAGGAGCACTGAATACATGCTAGTTGAAGGAATAAATATAACTAAATTCCTTAACCATTGGAGAAATTGCTCAAAGTTTTTATTTTATTTTATTTTTTAATTTTATCAGTCCACATGTGAAAGCTTTAGTCAGGGTCAAAAAACTAACTCTGCATCCTTGGGTAAAAACCATTTTGGTTGGATCTCTGGGCTTGCATGATTTGTAGAAGGCCTGGGTTTCTAGATGAAATAAAAGGTTTTTCCTTTATAATATTTTGGGTCTCCAAATTTTCAAAAATGTATTTTTTATGGTTTCTCTTTGTTTTTGTTTAAAAATAAACTTGTTGTGCGTGTAGGGGTTGGGTAGAGGTGCTCAAGAAGAAAGAACAACAGCAAACAAACAAACAAAAAGCCACTTTGATTAAGCATAGTTAGTGAGCTCAGTGAAGCATGTTTCATCCTGATGCCAAATGACGCTCACGAAAATTGCAGCAATTTTTGATGCACTTGCCAATGTTTGTGTTATTTTTACTTTAAAGATGTAGCAGATTGCTCCAAAATAAATAATTTAAGCCTAACGTTTCAAAAGAGTCCAAGCGCTTGCGTCTTTCACTTCTGGCTTCTCTTCTGGGACTAAGCTGTGCCCAACAGAAGCAATCCTCATTTCTATGTAACACTCCATTTGGAGGGCTGTTTTCTTGCTTTGTTTTTCAAAGTCGAATCTATTTCTCACCATTCTGTTCCAAATGTCGTAGATTCTATCATTGTTCTGCGCTGAAGCCATAACTCCTCTTATTCAGGAAAGCAAGGGAATAAACTCCACAGCATCTAGATTCGTGACTTTGTGGGAGGAGATTCCAAAGAGGTGCTCTGGGGTGAAGATCCAATCCAAGCCCCAGGGGAAACTACAATTTCCATATTGATTCATATTTAGATTTCGAGCCATGAACAATGGGTCGAATTTTGTGCACGTCCTCAGTATAACTTAAAATAGGTTGGCAAATTAACTTCACACAAAATGACCCCATCCTCAATCAATTATTAGACTTCTCATTTGATTGTCTTTGTGGTAAAATCTAAGAGAGAAGAAACAGCTATGATTTAAAAAAAAAATCAAAAGTAAATCTTTGTGCTGTTCTGTACTTCCTAACTGTGCATGAATGGCTTTTATAAACAAGAGAAAATGGCTTTTATAAAAAGATGAAATATAAAAAGACCAGAACAATAAACTGATGGCCTTGTGTTCTCATTAATGTAGGTCGCCATTGTGAGGTCCATCAGATGATTGGGAACTACATGTGGGACCCCACCACCAACAAGTCATTTGACATTGGTGTCAACAAAGACAGCCTGATGCCTCTCTGGTGGAATGGATCAGAACCTCTGTGGGTCACTCTGACCAAGGCCAAAAGGAAGGTCTACATGTACTACTGGCCAGGTGAGTGTGTTGACATCCAGGTCCCTCCAGCCTTCCAAATATCAAACACTGTGGAGTCTCTGAAGACAAATGATGTGGTTGTCATGTTCGAAGACCAAGTCAGAGTTTGGAAAATGGGATCTTTACAAGAAATATGTCTTATGGGCATGATTTTTAAACTTTTGTTCTGAGCTCTCTAACATCAGACCAGACACAATGCAATTTCCTGATTTCCTTGGTTCAGCAATGTTGCTGTAGTAGATCATGCTTTTTCATGTGCAAAATTTTGGATATCCAAAAGAGATAAATTATGTGTTGCTTCTCTGCTTTACAAAAGAATTTGGCATACTGTTTCTATAGATTTTGAGCTCCCCTGTAATGTTGAAAAGACTATTCAAAGCACTTACAACTTTTTGGTACTGCATTAAATGAGGTCTCTTTGTATTAATATTCCTCCTGTACGTCATAGACCAATGAGAAACTAAATTACTTTACTTACTGCAATGAGGTAAGTCATCATGCAAACTACCCTGGCTGTTGTGAGAAGTCTTCAGAATACTCTCGTCTTGGCAGTCAAAAATCTTGCACTAAGGATGAGAGGATTCAGTGATAACAATATAATCAACTTACAGTTGTCGTCCCATTGGTTCCCATTGGGATTCATTCTTTAGGTAAGTGGGTAATTTGACTTCCCGATGTACATGGCTGTAGACACTTTTTTCCGAATTCTTAATGGTGTAATACTGCTGAGTGCCACAATGCAAGAAGATGTCAGGGGAGGCCTGGAAGAAATGAAGGGATTAATTGGGAGAGGCCGCTGGGGGAGTTCACTGGCCTCGGTTGGAGGGCAGCAGTAGCCTGATAAAACTGTGAGAGCACGGTGGGTGGTGGGGAAGGTGGTAGGTGGGGGTCGGGAAGAACAGAGAGAAGGATGAGTAAGCTGAGGCTGAATCACAGATGGCCCACACTGAGGGCGTGGGCCTTCAGCAGGAGTTTAGAGGATGCTGGTTGGAGGTGGTCACGTGGACAGCTGCTTAGGGCACTCAAGGCTGTGCCAACTCTTGGAGGAGCATGGAACACAGACAGATGGAGACCGTGGAAAACAGACCCACAGCCATGCTGGGGTAAGTGCCCGGAAAACTGCCACAGAGCAGAGACTAGCATCCATAGGTGAGCCCATGAAGGCCAGAGCAGGCTGCATAAATTAGAAACTGGGCATAAGAACAATTAGACACAGGCTGGCTCTGCTGGCAGATAGAATTTCAGGGAGAGCACTGGAGTTTCTTCAGAAGACTTGGGATTCGGTCCATAGACCTCAGCTGACATGAGAAGAAGCTTTCAAGCAAGGGAAGGCTTTAAGGGGACTTCATTACCTTAAATGGAGACTCAACTTTTCAGAATTGGACATGAGATAGAAAAGAAGCCAGTGCACCAGACAAGCTAATCAGACTTGCTGGAGGAGCCAGGCTCATGGTTCAGCCCAGTGTGAGGAGGTCTCAAGCCAAAAGATGCACTTTGAGGTCATTCTCAGAAATCATTATGAACAAATACAAGGCCCACATGCCAGGGCCTAGGAGAAGGAACAGATTGGGCATGCTGTCTTAGGGACCACCTTAGACAAGTCTAAGGACCATCAAGATGCCTGTTACCCCAGCGCTGTAAGGGCCATCTTCCATGGTAGCTGGTTAATTTAACTTCCTGTCTTGGAACTTGAGTTTTTCATGCTCCGAAGAGTACATATACCCCATCATCTCTCCCCAGCTCCCCATGTGCTGCCTCCTCTACACATGATCTCCTGCCAGTGGCCTTTCAGATAGCAGTGGGTGCCATTGTGCATGAAGGTAGGGAGTGGTCCTGAAGGGAGACAGCTGCCCTATTTTAGACCTCTCTCTGCAGCATTATAGAGCATTATTCTGTATCTCCTCCTGGAGGATCTGGCTCCTTCAGGATAATAAACAACTTGAAGTTACATATCTCTGAGTATCTAAAAAAAAAAATCTCAAAGCTAATTTGCATGTAAAATATCATGTTCTCCTCCAAAACAGCTCCTTAAGGGCAAGAAAGGTCCAATCGCTTCTTTTGATTCACAGTTTAACAGCTAATGTGATGTGACAAATATGCCTTATGATCAGTTTATAGTGTTAACTATTGGGAGGAAAGAAGCTGAAAAGAAAGTCTCCTAGGATTTCCTCAGCAACCTAAATGAAGATGAGCTCAAGATCTGGCCGTGTTGAAGTCTTGATAGAAATCGGATGAATAGTCTCTTCTTAGACACTGTCCGGTCCTTCTAGGACCTTCTAGGCTGGATACCCAAATAAAGGCTCTCCAAGAGCTAAGTGTCTCTGAAGCCCCTGCCCCCTGACCCAACCAGGAGTGCTCTTGCACCCCCCAGTTTTACTGGCTGCCAGCTGAGGGATGAATGGTCACTGCTATCCTTTCTCCCTCCACCTTGGTCCCCTCTAGCCCCTCCACACAGCTAAGCCCAGTGAGCGTTCATTTGTCTCTACAAGATTAAGTGAAGTACAGTGGCGTTTCTTCTAAACATGACTTGATTTTATTTTTCTTCTCAAATCCTCCTCTTCCTTCTCCACTTCCCACAGGACATTGTACAGACCTCTGGATGAGGCCTGGAAAATCTTCATTGCTCCAGTGAGTTGTGTTATGACACTTTGAGTCTCACTGTGAAGTCAATATTTAGAAGTGCAATTTAGAAATGGCAGTAGTTCAAGTTTTTCCTGTCAGGTAGACAAAGCAGCAGACGGAAAAATTCGTCAGTGGTGAAGAATCCCAAATAGCCCACCTCAAGTCTCGAGAAATTTAATATTGTAAACAGACCCTTTATTACCCCACCCAATGGTGCCATTGAGCTGTGCAGGGAGAAGCGTACCATGGGAAATGATCCCCAGCCCTAAATCAAATATTCCTTTGGGAAGCCCAAAGAGATCATCCAGGAATTGTACGGTGGGGGCCTAACAGTGTTCTGCAAAGGAAAAGGGCTGAGTGTGTGTCGTTCATTAACTTTATCTCCTATTCCATCCCTCTGGTTTGAGATCAAAGAAATTTTACTGAGGGGGAAGGGAAGAGGCTCTGATACTCACTTCATAGTAAGAGCATCCCAAAGCAGAGAAGGGTGGAGGAGGAGGAAAAATGAGGGGAAATGGGAGGATAAGGCAGATACCATGTGGAAACTGAGTTTGAGCTCCTTGGACAGCACACAGGGGCAGTGGTTTTAAGTTGATTCTTATGGCTGTTGTGAAATCCCAAAAAGGAATAAAGATTAGCAACTTTTGAGGAGTCTCTGGTTAAAACTCCTTGGAATGTTTGAAGACTCTGAGTTCTATGTCTTTTATGATGCATTCTGCAGTGTGAACTCTCTACAGCCAAACACTCAGGGGGACTGGGGAGCAACCATTCATATGGCCCTGGAGAGCGCTGGGTGCAGGCCTGGGCTCTTCTACCGACCTCTTCCTGTCCTGTGCAGGTGTTCAGATAAATAGGGCACCTTCTTTGTAGGGAAGGACATGTTTCCACCTTGCTTCCCTTTCCTACATTCCAGAGGTGGGCTGGGTGGGGACTTTAGGGGTGAGTATCTAACTGAGCTCCTACCAAGCAAGGTGATTTCATCTGCATTAGTAAGGAGACATGCACTGGCTATTGATGGAGAATATGGATTGTTCACAGCCTATTCCCCTTTCCTGCTGTGGTGGGTTCCTGACAGCCTTCAGCTGGGCTAAACTTGGTTGCATACACTAAGGCACAGGGAAGATTAGGGGCCCAACATCAATTATACAAATGAGTGAGTTAACGTTATGAATGGCTCAGTTCTTTGACTCTATGAACAGGACTCCAAATATCTGAATAAAAACTGAAACTTTTCAGACAAATATTTGACATTGCAAATGCATGGGATCCAGAGTTGCACTAAATTTTCCAATAATATCACCAATTTAGCATTAGACTTTAAGATATATGTAACTTTAGAACACAAAGAGGTCCTCATATGTAGTTTGCTCATTCCTATACTTGTAAATCAGGACCTCTTTAGGAAACTCTTCAAAACTATGGATCCCCTTTGCAGAAAAACACACCCTTGCATACAACACTCATAATTTTGTCCTCATGTAATACAAGAAACTACAATGATGAGGATTGGCAAAAGGTCTTTGACATAGCAACACACATATATCTAATCTATAATTGATTTGATTTTTTTTTAAAGATTTTATTTATTTATTTGAGAGAGAGGATGAGAGGAGAGAGAGAGCACATGAGAGGGGGGAGGGTCAGAGGGAGAAGCAGACTCCCTGCCGAGCAGGGAGCCCGATGCGGGACTCGATCCAGGGACTCCAGGATCATGACCTGAGCCGAAGGCAGTCGCTTAACCAACTGAGCCACCCAGGCGCCCCGATTTGTTTTTTTTTAATGTGATAAAAACATGTGTTAAAAATCACGGAAGTACCAAGCGAAACTCAAGATCCTGTAATTAATCTTGTCTGGCTAGAATGGGCTTGGGTCAAAATTCTCTAAGACTCTTTGGGTTGAATTCACTATGAGTCATTTCCTTTGTTTGTCAGGAACTTTGGTCAGGTCTGCATCCCTGATATTCCTGTCTGTGTCAGCAAGAAAAAGATTATGAATTCTCATTTCCAGTTGGAGGTTGTCTCTAAGACATGATCTTCAAAAGCGTTCTGTATGACTTCTCAGCATCAATGATCTCTGCTGCAGAGAAACTGAGGAGGTGTTGCCTATCTGGACTACTGCCGGCGGAAGCAATTCCTCCAGTGCTGGAAAGTTTTCATAGCTGTCCAACCACATGCAATTTCCTCTCGGAGGCTAGCATCTTGGCCAAAAGAGCTCACAGTTTCTCAGCAGCATCCATGATGGTAATTAGAAAGCCTTAAAGAGAAATCCAGGGATGAACTTCTATTCTTCACAAGTCATGGCAAATCTATTTCTTCATAAAACATCTTAAAAGGGTGTGACTCCAGGCCCTGAAATCTGCTCTTAGGAGACAACTATGA